GTCAAAAGCTCATGAACCAAAATTAGGCGCACACTACAATACTTTTTTTTAGCATTCTTTTCTACACTCACCCTCGGTAATCCTGACAACAGTCCCTAAGTCATGGTTTGGCGCTTAAATCAATTCATCAAATGATCTTGAATTTAAAGTTCATCATAAATGTTATATAATATGAGTTTGGAGAAGTAAAATGTCTTCCAAGATGGAATAATCAACTTCCAGTCAAGTCTTTTAACATGAATAGATTAAACAGCAGATTCATCATGTTTCAAACCATTACTGCCATGAAGATGCAATTATAATTATATTTCTTACGTCCATTTGCAATCTTACTTGAAAGAAATAAACACTTGAGATAAGTTTGTGTGCATTCTAACATACTTCAAGAATACAAGTAAATCTATGTGCCCATCTACACTTAACTAATCTCTCAACAGTTCAAAACCGTTTGATTTTGTTTTTGTTCTACTTATTTAAAAGTTCAAACAATACTAATAATAATAACGTAAAAAAAATGTTGGAGATATTCACTAACCTTTGCTCTCCAATTTTGAGTGCTGAATTATTACTTATCAAGTAATTTGAAACTATGAATATTTCATTAAATCTTAAGAAATAAATATTCTCATCAAATTCCTCAAAATAGGCCTGAAATTATTAAATTTATTTTTAGATGAGTTCAATAATAATAAAATAAATTAAATTTGGGTTGCCCTTCTTTTAGTATAAAGTCAATGTATTTTTAATATATATTTTTTTTATTTTTATTATTTATTTTTTTGTTTGTTGTCTACGTGATATTCCTACCATTTTAACCGCACCCAGAGATAAGTCAATGCCAAATAATACACAAATTCAATGGAAGTCAGCAGTCTTCCTCAGAAATCTACAAAGGAAATAACACAAATTATAATTACAAATTGGATTGATCTAAATGTTCTAGCAAAACCTTGAGAATATCGCGAAGCACAACAATGCCGACAAGACTGTAGTCCTTATCCACCACCCACACATACCCAACACGGTGCGCCAGTAACTGAACCATCACAGCTGCCAGCGAGCTCACCGGCTGACAAACAATGGCCAACTCCGACCTACGTCCCATCCTAGCAGAGTAGCTCCCCATCGATCTTGTCCGCCTTAGCGCTCTCAACTTCCCCTCTTCTTCATCAGAAGAAGACGAAGCCGACGAAGACGATGAAGAAAACATTGGCGACGAGAATTTTCCTTCCAAGAGCTCCAACATCCCCTGCATCCCCTTCTCCTTCAGTATACACTTCACAGTTCGCAATGCGGCTTCTGGCGGAGAGCCGCGCCAGTCAATGTAGGTCATGAGGTCGCCGGCAGAGAGGGCAGCAAGCGCGGCGGCGGCGGACTCGTCGCAGCTAGCGAGGGGGGAAGGAGAAATCTCGCCGATGAGCTTGCGATCGTGGGTGATGACCGCAACAGAGGTTTGTTCGTGGAGGGCACGAGAGATGAGTGGCAGGAAGGAAAGGACGGGGTCGTGGCGATGGACGGTGAAAACATCGGTGGAGCGGACGAGGCCAAGATGGCTCACAGAAAGGTCGGCGACGGGGGAGAAAGTGGCGATGGAGTTGAAGAAAAAGCGCGCGAAGTCCTCCTGTGTCAGCCAGCAGAACATTGTCGAATGTCGTGTGATACTTCCGGGATTCTTGGGATGGCTTGCGGTTGATTGGATGGGTGCCCAGAGGATACGCGGTCCTTCCAGAAGAAGGTTGAGAGCATCAATAACTCTGTTCATAAAGAAGAAAGTTTATATTTTTGTTAAAAGAAGCATGTTTCAGGTCAGATGAATAAGCTACAAATGTTATGATTTATGATTCATTAATATATGGCCTAAAATCAAGAGAATAAATTGAATTATCAAAGGTGCTCTATGAATTAAATCCTAATTCAATGGTGGAGCAGAATTTGACAAGCAAATTATATCACATACAAAATGGGAATATATATATATTTTTTTTATATGAGAAAGATGTAAACTCGAGTTCAATAGCTGTGATCATTTTATGGTTCTGTTCTAAACTTTCTTTTGTTTGTTTGATCCATTTTCTTATATATGTGGTCAGATTTTGTTTGTTTGATGAACTTTGCATATATTTGATCATCGCATTGGTCTATTATATTTGGCAATTTGTTGTCTTTCTCAACAGAGAGCTGCCAACCGTTTTTATTTGTTTTACATGGCCAAATGTGTGGCTTTCCAGGGAATTATGGATTAAGATCACGTAGGAAATGACTATGGATGCTTAACTTTTGGCCCCGGGATTATTTTGTATATTTTATTTCTATTTTTTTGTTATAAAGTGTATTTTGTTTTTATTTTTATAAATAAATAAAATTGTTTAAAAAAAAAAAACTCAAATCACTTTTAAGTGGGTTATTG